GTGCCAAGGCCTTGTTTTATGAGTTTAAGCATTACATGTTGAACTAAGCCATTTATAGAAAAAGCAAATTAGCCATTCTTGAAAAGTTGCACTTTATGTCAATTGGTAAATCAATAAGGTACAAAGAAAATCTCTGAGGCACAAGTTTATGAACAAAACACACTGATCAAGGGGAAGGTTAGCAGCATAGCTTGGGGGCCTCTACCTGTCTAGAACACCAAGTTGCCTCTTTTGCTTAAGTGTGAAGAAACATAGCATAACAGATACCAACTTTCATCTCAGCAAACCAGGCCTTAAGAAAAGTTATCAAACACATTCAAGACATCAAACACAAGCTGAAACACGAGCTATACATCTCCAATACCTCCCCATTCCCAGAATCACCCTCAAACTGCCCAAACAGAGCATCTGCTGCAGTTTGAGTTCCATAGCTCAAACCTTCCATGCATTCTTGCTAAAACCACCTCAAATACATCCCACAACATCCCTTTAAGCTATCCCAAACCTCAAACATGACCTGTAACACTCCCAAGCAACATCACCATTTTCATTTTTTTGTTTTGCAGGTGGAGTTCTACAACTCGATTCAGCTAGTTTCAAAGCAAAGTAAAACTTGAAATAGCATCCCTGGACATCAAGGAAGTTGTACCAATCATCACCTTGCACTGAAAGTACCTCAATCACCAGATACAACTTCAACTGAACAGGTAAGTTCATGAACTCGTATCTCTCTATCCAGGCATTTTTAGCTTTAGGTTTGTGAAGAAAACATGTCACATTCATAGCCCTGAACATGCCCATATGATTAGATTTCATTTATATTATGTATGCTTAGAGAATTTGATGTCTGAACTTGGAATAAAAATTAGGTTAGGAATTGGGGGAGAAGAAATACTCTCTCATTTCTGAGAGTTAAATCATGTTCTTTATATGTATGGACTCGTGAGAGGATGCTTGACATTTTTTGTGTTGTAAGTTTTCATTAAAAATCAAAGAATCAGGACCTTGCAATGGAAGAAAAGAGGCGCGTGTTTTTGTTCAAACAAAAATGCTGGAGGTTGAAGAAGCTCCACGTGGGCTGGGCTTTGTTTCCTATTTCTTTTTACACCCTTTTGTTACTTTGACACCCCCTAGGCCCATTATGTTTATTTTCATGATTTTTTGACTTTTCTTTTTTTATTCTGACTTATTTATTTTTCCTCATGATATTAAAAATATAAAAATAATTTTTTAAACCATTTTTGAATTTATTAGGCATTTATTTGTTTAGATGGTTATTTGTACATAAATAAATATATAAACATACTTTTATTTAAAAATACCAAAAATAATGCAAACTTATTTTATTTCTGATTTTTATTTTATTTCTCCCTTGAAAACATTTTATATCAAAAATACTTTTTTTTAATAAAATATTAAATATTATTATTTTATATATATAATATATATTTAGTAAATAATACAAATAGATATATATTTATTAGTATATTTAGGTTAAAAATACAAAATATATACATTTTTATTTTTATTAATATTTAACATTAAAAATACCTTTTTACAAATATACTTCATTTTTATTTTATTTTTGTATATAATAAATAAGTTTTGTACATATTAATAATTAATACATTTACTTAATAAAATTATTGCCCTAAAACATAAAAAATCAAAAAAATAATACTTTTTATCTTGTTTATTTGATACACAAAAATACTTTTTTTTTCATACATATAAAAAACCTTTTTGCATCTTGCATATTTATTTTATTTCCATTTAATTTGTGCACTCAATTATCTTGTAAATCATTCAATATTGATGTAATAGTCTAGGTTTAAATTCCTTGTCAAAAAAACCCCATTTGAACATTTGTACCCCCCTTCCCATATATTGTGTTGTAATAGCTTAGTAACTTTATTTTTCGCACTTTATTGCTTTCTAATTATACAATGTTAGAATTAGGGTTTGTATGCGAATCAAAAACAACAAAAATAGTTTGACCTAATTTCAAGATAAACAAGCATGAAAATGGACAACACTAATCACACTTGCACCCCTAGGGTATTCCACTTGTTGCCTTCAATAAATGGGCCATATTGCATGTTAGGTCTCTTTGGGCAAAATAAACAAATCAAATGATCATAGTCCCTCGATGACGCTTTTGAAAGTTACCTAAAAATGATCAAGTCCCTTAAAGGAAAATTGCCCAAAGATACTTGACACCATTGCAATTATGGTCTAAACGATGACCCGCGCCTGTCCCTTTCACATCCTAACACAAGATTGTCCACCAAATACAATGGTGGAACAAAATTGTTAAAAGGGTTAAAAGCATAGTAGAAATCTTTGAGAAATTTAGGAGCAGATAACCTCTTAGTTACTTGAATCAAACTTGCAAAACAAAACACTTGCCTATTTCTAAAACTACACATCACTACACTTTCAAAAACAACTTTCAAAAACAAATGAAAACCTTTTCAAAAGACATACACCTTTGTATACATCCCAACATGGATCATTACAAAGGTTGCCACCACATTGGCTTCTTTTCAAAACATTTTCAAACCCACACGCACAAAGCACCATTTCAAACAATTGAAAAATAAGGCAAGTTGATCTAAGCAAGTAACTAAGAGCCCATGGATAACCATGGATAGAAAGGGTGATAATACCTTCCCTTTCTATAATCTACTCCCCGAACCCAAGAAAACATCTCAAAGGTTTTTGCTGTGCTTTTTAAACCTTTCCTTAGGATAAAATAAAAAGTCGGTGGCGACTCTTGCTCAACCGAAACATTTGCAAAAACAAACGCAAAACCATAGTCAGTTCTGCCACCGTATCACAATATTTAATGGAAAAATGGGAAACAAATAGAATAAGGTTTCAGAAAATTGCTGATGATGCTATTGTTATTATGTAGGATGGCTGTTGAACACATGTTTGAGGTACATCATGTGGAAAATCATAGATATATTTGCTGTGAATTTGAAAGGAGGGGTGTGCTCTTGTAGAAAGCGGGAATTAACTGGAGTGTCGTGTGTTCATGCACTGGCTAGCATTAAAAGTATGGACTTTAAGATTGAGGATTGCATCCCTATTTATTATAGTAAGTCATAGTACATGAAGGTATTTTCATATGTCATTTATCATGTGAATGGATCCAACCTCTAGACTAGAACTGAATATCCATATGTCCAGCCTCCTAAGTATAGAAGAATGCATGGAAAGCCAAAGAAACGAAGAAATCTTGAACAAGGAGAGCTAGATGGGTTTGATAAAAAAAAATGAAGAGAACAAGTTTTGTACTCACGTGTTCTAGGTGCAGGCATACATGGCACAATAAATCAACATGTAAGGTGACTCTAACTACTCAACAGAGTGCACATGATACTCAACATAGTGCATAGGGTACTCAACAGAATGCACAAAGTACTCAACATACTGTCAACCTTAGCCAACCAAGTCCAGCTACTCAAGGGTCTCAAAATGCTATCAACCTTAGCCAACCAACTCCGGCTACTCAGGGTTCCAAGAAGTTAACTGCTACTGAAAAACAAGGAAGTCATGCAACATTAACACGAAGAAGGCTATCTAAGTTGGGTGTCAGGAGGCCATCAAAACCTTTTGTTCCTCCTGGACCAAATACAAGACTAACCGCTGTCAAGAATGTGATTAGCCCAACTACAAGGAGGGCAACTTCAACTAAGAGGACAACTCCCAAGAAAGAAAAACTTAGATTTGTATAGGATGTCATTTTGAATTTCTGTCATTTTGTGTAATGGTCTTAACTGATATTTAGAACCATCTACTACTGTTTTGTGTTATGCTTATGTATGTCATCTTGATATGCCGTCATTTTGTATAATGTATATGAATGTCATTTTGAATATGTTTATGTTAATGGAAATTATGTGTTATGTTGAAATTATGTTTATTATAAGTTTATGTGTTAATGCATAATTGATCAACATTACAACATTTCATTACAACATTTCATTACAACATTTCAACATTTGGAACATTACAATATTTCATTACAATTTAAAATCAGATCTAAATCATTACACTACAACTTAAACATTACAATTCATTATAAACCAAACCAGAATTGTTGCACCTAAAATAATAAACATAATACAACAGTTTTTCAACTTCAGAATCTTGTTCATCTCCTTCCTTAATTCTTCATTTGTCAACTTAATTTTTTCAATCTCCATTGTTGCATTATCCAATTTCTTTGATAACTTTTCCAATTTATACATTATAATTTTCCCTTTGTCATCTTGAGCTTCCTCATAAAACCATTCAAAAAATTCACACCAAGGTTGCCCTGTTCCCTACAATGTATGATGTATTACTCAAACAGTAACAATGGAGGTAAAAAGCTTGTACATTTCACAAACATACCTAAAAATAAGTACAACCCCAAAAATGTTTCCCATAGTTCTTTTTCGTTGAAGACCTGCGAAGAATAGTCAAATCTCCACAATGACAAGTTGGTTTCCATGTGAGATTGGAGCTCGTGAACACACTGGAGTTGTTTGATTCTTGGCTTTTCTGATTCATGGGGGACAAAGCATAACCTGATGCCATTGATGTTGAACCCTATGCTTCAATTTGGGCCAAAAATTCTTAACCCTGGATACGATAAAGAAAACGATTCGGTGAAATAGAATAGGGAAAATGAAGGACATAAGCCATGTCATCTGCCACATATGCAGACACAAACGTCAGTTTACAGTAAATGGACGGAAATGACCTATGTACTCCGTTTTTAAGACTTAAATAATTGTTTTGCACTTTTTAAAAGATAATGGACAAAAATAGATCCTAAAACAAAATTAAGGGACAAAATAAATGATATTTTTCCTTAATTTTTAACCGTAGCTATAGAGATTAAACGAACATGTTTATACGAATAAAGATTAAATATAATTTTAATTAATAAATATTTCTCATCATATCAAATCACCAAGGACTTCTAATCATGATTGTCATAAAAATCAACAATAAGACATCAACAACTGTTCCAAATATTCAGAACCAAGATCTTCAAACACAACCAAATTATCTATCCCAACAACATCTCTCTCATGTTTCTTCTTCTTTTCATCCATTTTCCTTCTCATCGAATTCTTTCTCTTCAAAGCAACAACCGGCGAACACTGATCATCACTAGACACCACATAATTCATATCCCTAAGCGATTCCCTAACCTTCTCAACCGGAAAATTAAGTATTGCGGCGGAACCTCTCATCGAAAAAGCAGCTTGATCATAAGCTAGTGCGGCTGCTTCCGCACTATCAAATGTTCCAAGCCAGACCCTTATGCCATGCCGAGTTGAATCTCTTATCTCCGCCGCGAATTTCCCCCACGGTCTCCGTCGGACGCCGCGGTAGGACTTGTTGCTCTTTGTTGTTGTTTCTTTGCTACTAGGGATTAGTTTGTGTTTTTGTTGTTGTTGTTGTTGTGATGATGATGTTATCATGCCGTATAAAAGCATCTCTTCTGGGTCGTTTTCGTTGAAGGGGAGAAACTCGTGGTGCGTTTTGGGATTCAAAGAGAATGAATCTTGTGAAAAGAAATTGGAGGAATAAGCCATTTGAAGTGTGGGAATGTGAAGAGAAAAGATAAAAACAGAGTTGCTCTGTTTCTTCTTAATGTGGAATGAAAATTTGAAACCTCAGTAGCATGGTTATATATACCAAATTTGAGGGCACAAAAAGTTGTAAAAGTCAGTGATAGAGCCAATAGGTTAAGAGAGCGTGGAAAGATGTAAGCTAAATAGGTATATGTTCTACATTCATGGTATTTACTACCACCCAAGGGGATTTGGTTACGTAATCCCCACACATTCTTTGATTTTTATTTTTTGGCTTTAAAAATGAATACATTCATAACTAAATGCTAAATAAATTTTTCATTTATATTAGTTTAATGACTAAAATTTCACTCATTAATCCTCATGTGTAGTTTAAAGGAGAAGGTTGGGAATAGATTTTATCAAAGAAGGAAAGGGAGAGCAGATATTTTAATTACATACATGTATATGTTTTGTCCAAAATATAAAAAAAAAAAAAAAAAAAAAAAAAAGTGGAACGAGAATATTTTAATTATAAATTTGTTTAATTCACAAGAGGATGTATGGGTGTACGCAGTGCGGTTTCAATGATATTTAAGTTAAAAATTATCGGAATTGAAGAAAAAAAATATGAGATTCGATTTAGTTCGATTGATTTTTATAAATAAAATTGAACTAAACTAAACCAAATCAATGCACATACATATAGATGATAAAATAACTTTGTGTTTGATTGATACGGTATTTTATAAGATTTTATTGAGTCATAATACATGCATAAATGACAAAATAACTTTGTATTTAGTCATTCATATTTTATCCAATAACAACAAATAATGTCAATGATTGTAAATTATAACATCATTTTAGCACATAATAACAAAATAATAATAATGTGTATTACAAAATACAAACATCATTAGTGCATTACATTAGAACACTATGGTAGTAGCACAAAAACATCAACTAGACCAGTAGTCATAGATCCTTATATTGATCTTCATGCATCATCATTTGGTCAACATATCAAGGACCATCTCTTTATTGGCAACATGTCAAACACCATTACTTGATGAACATATAGAACACCATCATTTGATCAATAATATATCAAATAACATCATCTATATCAATTAAGACTTGAACAACAAAATTTGTGAAGACTTATCTTAAGAGTGTTTTCGATATCAAAACTAAATTAACAGATATTTGTAGTACCTAAAAGCACATAGATCCACATTATCGTAGAAGAAAGAGATTCATATATTGTTTTTATGCAACTTTATTTGATATTCAACCATGGAAATGGAAGCATCAAAGACAACAACAAAACTGACTTCCTCGTCAATAATCATATCTAAGATTAAAAAATATCATGTTTAAAATCAATATATCATGTTTTGCATTTCACTAAATTGGTATTTAGAATTAATAAATCATATTTGACATTCCACTATAAAGATATTTAACATCAATACATAATTGGCATTTCATATTTAGATTCAATACATAAAAAAAATTTAGAGTTAATTTATATACTAAATAGGCAATTGATAGATGTTGGAACATGTCCATGTTTCAATATGTTGAATTTAAAAATTTCTCAAGTCCCACATTGTTAGAATATCTTTTTAGTTAAAAAAACCATTTAGTCTCACATTGCTCATGTGAGAAATATTAACTATCTTCACTATATAAGGAGTGCACGTGTTTCATTTCAAATCACACCAAAAACTATTCTATTAGATTTTCCTTCCTCACTCTCATAACTCTTTTTCTCTCGAATTGTTGAAGTGCCATCTTCTTCCCCTTTCTTCCTACTCGTTAAATTTTCCGAGTATTTTCTTGAATTCTCTTTAGATAATTATGTTAATTTCTCCTCATTTGAGTTGAAAAATTTTCAAGTTTAATCTTTTGGATTCTCTTTGGAGAATTATTTGAATTTCTCTTTGTTGGAGAAATTATTATGAGTGGTCAAATGACCATTATTAATTTCTCTTTGGAGAATTATTTGAGTTTCTTTTTGTTTGAGAAATTATTATGACTGGTCTTTGTACCAGATACTACGAGTGGTGTTGATACCATATTTGAATGGTCTTGTACCATCAGAGGGTGTATTTCTAGACCGATTATCTATCATACAAGTAGTAATCGTACAATATAGAACTAGATTGTTTTATCCTGGAGACAGCGTGGTAGTTCAACTGCTTTGTATAATTTTGAGCAGTGTCGCGAAACGTCTTAAAGAGAGAGTCCTAGTCCGCGACTCAACCTGGTAATTTCTTCGGTGGAAAATATTTTAAAATTCGAAAACAACAATTTTAAGACGTTTCAAACTGCCATGGCTACTGAAGAAATTATTGGTTCTTTTGCAAATATTATCTTTGAGAAATCGTTCATGTTTGAGAGAAGTCACTTCAAACGTTGGCAAAAAAAGATGAAGTTCTTAACATTGAAAAAAGTTACCTACATTCTGATCCAACATTCTGTTGCTCCTTCTGGATCAATCGAACAAACTAACGGTAGTAAATCTGGAGATTTAGAAGGAACACTTGATAGTGTTGAAGTTGAATCTGCTGCACAGATTAAAGCGAATGATTTACAGCATAGTAAAGAAACACCTTATAGAAAGAGAATGAAAATCTCTACAAAATCATATTTTGAATAGACTCGCAGATGATCTGTATGATAATTACAGTTGATGTGATACTGCAAAATAAGATTGAGAGACTCAAAAAGAAGTATGACGTAGAAGCTGGAGCAAAGAAGTATGTTGTTATCCGCTACTTCAAGTATCAAATGAAAAGATGTAAGGTCGATGGAGGCTCAATGTTACGAACTTCAAAATATTGCTTAAAAGATCATCACAAAAGGTATGTGTTTAAATGAACAATTTCAAATTAGTTTTATTATTGACAAACTACCCTATAGTTTAAATGTTTAAAAAACAAAAAGGGATTCTTAGAGACAATATCAAAAGGAAAAAGTCTTGGTTGTTTCAAACAACAAAAAGAAATTCGGTGTAGCTCTGAAGCCATTTGGAAAATGATTAAAGAATCAGAACCGCAATATTGTAACCTGAATTAAAAATGGGAACTCTTTTATGATCCCAATAGCTCCAAGTAGGAAATAACCACCACCTAAAATATGTTGGTTTCCCTTTGTTTTAACTATGGAAAATCAAGTCATATGACTAAGAAATGTAGAATTAAGCTTGAACTTGGTGTTGTCCCTAATGCACAGGTCAACCTGACTAATGGGAAATTTATTGCTATAGTCATTGAAATCAACATGGTTGATGGATAAGTTGGTTGGTGGATAGACACCTGCGTCTCTTGGTGTGTCTGTTATGATCGTGTTATTTTTAAAACATACACGAATACTAAATATAAGAAAGTGTTGTTGGGAGATGGCCAGGCCACAAATGTTGCTGGAATTTTAGACATGGAGCTAAATTTCACCTTAAAAAAGATTTTAATCTTAAAGAACGTTATGCATGTTCCTAAGATTAGAAAGAATATTGTTTCTGGTTTTCTTTTAAACAAGACAGGGTTTTAGTCACTCTATTGGGGTAGATTTGTACGCCATTACGAAGAATGAAGTTTATATGTTTAAAATTTTTGTAAAGAATTTGAAAATGATATAATAAGAATTTGTAGTGATAGATAAACTTTATGAGTCTAGTTTATCAATGAATTGTATACATGGAATTGTACATGAAATGACTGCACCATACTATCTTGCAATGAATGGTAAAGCAGAAAGAAAGAATAGAACTCTTACTGAACTTGTTGCAATTATGTTGAATTCTAGTGTTGCACCTCACTGGTGGGGGGGAGTTTTATTGACTGTTTGATATGTCCTGAATAGAGTCCCAAGTAAAAATGTAAGATCTCTCCTTATGAGATATTAAAGAAAAGACAATCAAATGTGTCTTATTTGAGAACTTGGGGTTGTCTGGCTTATGTCATAATTCCATATTTGAAACTAGTTAAACTCGCTAGTAGAGCATATGAATGTGTTTTCATTGGGTATGCAGCAAACAGTAAAGCATATAGGTTTTATAACCTAAAGGCAAAAGTGATCATAGAATCAAATGATATTGAATTCTATGAAGACAAATTTCCTTTCAAATTGAGAAATAGTGGGGACACACAATCGAGTCACATTCCTGTGATAAGAAGCACAGAAAACAACGACAATGTAGAAACAGAACTTCGATGAAGTAAACGAGTAAGAGTTGCTAAAGACTATAGGCCTGATTATGCGGATTATAATGTAGAAGAAGAACCAATGAATCTTCAAGAAGCCTTGTCATCTCTGGATGTTTATTAATGGAAAGAAGCTATCAATGATGATATAGAATCTCTAGAATCTAACAAGACCTGACACTTAGTAGACTTGCCTCCTGGTTGCAAACCAATCGGTTGTAAATGAGTTTTGAAAAAGAAACTAAAACCTGATGGAACTATTGATAAATACAAGGTTCGCCTAGTTGCCAAGGGTTTTAGACAAAGAGAAAATATAGATTTCTTCGACACCTTTTCTCCTGTCACTAGAATTACATCCATTAGGGTACTTATTTCAATATCTGCTATTTATAACTTAATAGTACACCAAATGGATGTTAAAACAACTTTTTTAAACGGTGACTTAGAAGAAGAAATCTATATGAAACAACCAGAAGGGTTTGTGATCTATGGATAAGAAAACAAGGTTTGTAAGTTAGATAAGTCTTTGTATGGGCTAAAACAAGCTCCAAAGCAATGTCATGTAAAGTTTGATAACTTAATGATATCGAATGAGTACAAAGTGAATGAAAGTAACAAATACATTTATTACAAATTTGAGAATTACATTTGCACTATGATATGTCTATATGTAGACGATCTACTCATATTTGGATCAAACATTCATGCCATTAATGATATGAAATCATTGTTGTGCAACAACTTTAATATGAAAGACCTCGGAGAAGAGAGTGTGATTCTTGGTATCAAGATCACGAGATCCGAGCAAGG